TTGCTATGAGGGTGGCAGCTGGCCAACTTCATACTAATTTCCCTTTGCATCATTCCATTTACCTTTTTTTAATTTCAGTTCCATCTGCTGTTTCATCCACCACTTCTATGTGTTCATCACTTTCCTCTTGGCTTTCTTCATCTTCATTATGGACCTGTAATTCAGATTCAGAAAGGACGAGTGCTGGCTTTTTTCAGTTCTGCTCTTCAGAATGTCTTCTCCAACCACAGCACGTGTGAATGGCTCAGAAGAGGAGACATTCTGCCCGTAACGACTGTCACTGCACAACACTGACCTCAGTTCTGTACCTACAGCAGCACATTGGAGTATTCCTACGAAAGCACTCTAAGGTAGAAAAGTTAGCTACCCAACAAATGCTATGTTGTGAAAAGCACTGTTCCACAGTGTGAAGCTCAGTCTAGCAGGGCTCAGTAGAGCCAAATTGTGTACCCACATTTACATGTCCCTCACAGCTGTCCATGGATACATACCCAAGAATAAACACACTAACACAAGTAAGCCATTAAAAAAGAAAAGGAGGGGGAAACAAAACTTGAAAAATCAGTTTCTGAAAAGGTCTTTTCACATCAAACCACAACATAATCCAGTTTTCATGTGAACTGGCACTTCATACGAATCATGAAAAGCAAGTATCACCCCACTACAGCTTGGAGTCTTCAGAGCTGATCTTTAGTGGCAAAGATGACAGCAGTAAGATACTGCAGTTGCACATGTAAGCCCCCTGACCAACTGCATGCAGCTATACGACGATCAAGGCACAGAACGTTACACAGGTGAGACTAGAGCAGAAGAAGGGCGCAGCACACTAACCGCAAGGTAGGTTCTAGGCACGAGGCCTCTCTCCCCTTTTGAGTTCTCAGCTACCCACCAGCCATCCGCCTTCTTATCATGTATAAGCAGGACTTCACCTTTCTTTGCCATTGGGACAGAAGGAGAAAAAAGACAACCAAATATTTCAATGTGATGCCAAACACAATATGAACAACAATTCAGTTTTTCCCCACAGGTTGCAGACTAGAACTACACATTCTGGTGCTACAGAAAGAGGCAAGAGAACACTGAGCTCCAGTAAGGGAAATGCAGACTGGGGAAAGCCTTTCTTCCCAGATCCTTCTGAATCCCAAAAGCATGGGATGTAATTATTGCTACTGTTTAATACAGAATGACCTGCAGTACCAGCATGGCAATAATTTTTTTGCAGAGGCCTGCTTACCATAAATGTGAGGTCCCCTTCCTGCTGCGCATTAAAGTTCCCCACTGCAATGCATTCTTTGACATCAGGATCATCCAACAACTTATCCTCATCTTCCTCATCTGTTTCTTCACTTTCTTCTTCCTCACTACTTTCTCCACTGTCATCAGCACTCTCATCCTCTTCTTTATTTTTGTCCTCTCTTTGAGGATCTTTCTGATGTCCCCCATTCCTACCCAAAAATAAATCAAACTTTTTATTCATTTTTAAATTTTTAATAAATCTTTTTGAAATTGCTGTAAAAGCCTTACAACGTGGGCTTCCCTGTGTACAAAAACCTCATTGTAGTCCTTGGCCTGGCCCGAAATGGTGTTTCATCCTTAAGCATACAGACCACAGTACAACCTGCATTATATTTCAGCCATTAACCCAAATCCTCAGAAAGCTGCGGCGAGGCTTTCTTGACTTCATTAATAAAACAAGCCCCAGAAAAGCCAGCTCTTCTGCAGTGTTTTAATAGCTAATAAGGAGGATAAGCAGACTTTGAGGGTCCTTTCCAGTGCTGCATGTAGGATTCTGTTGAAGTACAGATGCTTTGTTTGGGTTACTTACACCGTGTCATTTGTAGCCACGTTACCCTGATCCAAGGTACGATCAAGTTTCTGCAGCTGCTGGGATAGCTTTAGCAATAGCTTTTCTTCTTCTTCTTTCCTCTGGTTATAATTCCCCACCGGTGCAGGCTCATCAGCCTGAGAAAGGAAAATACAACAAATTTACAGTTTCCCTATAAAGATAACTTTACAGACACATCTCATGAGTTTTGATATTCCAGGGCAGTGATGACTCCCTACTTAGTGATATTCTTCTTGCCTTTTGCTTCAACAAGATGAAGTTCCAGGGTATATTTTCAATCTACATTCTCCTCTCCCAATACAATGATAAACATCTTGAAATATATTGGGTCAATAAAGATTTTAGTGCACATAACAAAGCATTAAAAACGTGTTTTTAAATAGTACAAATGAATCTCAGAGATCCCACAGGTTATGCAGTGCTAGGCATTACTTTCGTCCCGAGGCATCTAAAATTGAAGGAGGTTAGCATTCTCTGAGTATTTACCACAATGTATTAAGGAGAAGGCCATGAACAAGTCTCTATACCTACTTTTTTCAAACTATGAAGAGTGTTTGTATTCTCATCCACCAGTTTCTGCAGCTGCAAACATCTGCATTGAAAGCAAAGACAGGCAGACAGCATTATCTTAAATCTGGCTGACAGGACATTGAAATCATGCAAAATCACTGAAACGTGTATATTTAGATGCCCATACCTTCTCACAGCTGTATGCACACAAAGCTTTACAAAAAACACCAATACAATCCCAAAGAGTACTTCATAAACCAAGAGCTTGGTGTCTCCTTAGAAGCGGGGTTTTAACAAAACTCAGAAGCAGCAGCATCAACAGATTTGAAGCAGAGGGATAAAATGAGACCATCTCCTGGCTCTGACAAGTTTTGGTGACAATCATTCACACAAGAATCCCTGAAGAACAAAGGGAATGCGCAGCATAACTGCTTATTACCTGTGATGTGCAAGTTCCCACTTAAAACAACTTCAGCCTTGAGGAGTCCAAACAGCCTATGTGCTTACCAATGCTACATCACCTCACAGGCACCCACTATCCCTCAAACCCAGCACTGGGCAGGGTGCTGAAGGAGCCCATTGCTGCTGCCCTCGCTTAGTACTACTTGGGGGGAAGGTAGGATTGCCACTGCACCACACAAGTTCCTCAGCATCGAACCCTTGCTTTCCATAATGCCCAGAAGACCAGGTAACACTGCATTAAGTAGAGGCTCTGCTGGGCCCCTCACTGCAATAAAGACATTGAGGCCCTGGAACATGTTCAAAGGAGGGCAACAAAGCTGGTGATGGGTCTGGAACACAGGCCATATGAGGAGAGGCTGAAGGAGCTGGGAATGTTCAGCCTGGAGAAGAGGAGGCTCAGGGGAGACCTTATTGCTCTTATAACTTCCTGAAGGGAGGTTGTAGTGAGCTGGGGGTCGGCCTCTTCTCTCGTGTCATTAGTGATAGGACCAGGGGGAATGGTTTCAAGCTACGGCAGGGGAGATTCAGGCTGGACATGAGGAAGTATTACTTTTCAGAAAGGGTGGTCAGGCACTGGAATGGACTGCCCAGGGAGGTGGTGGAATCACCGACCCTGGGGGTGTTCAAGGAAAGGCTGGATGTTGTGTTGAGGGACATGGTTTAGTGGGAGCTATTGGGAATAGGTGAACGGTTGGACTGCATGATCTTTTAGGTCTTTTCCAACCTTGGTGATTCTATGATTCTATGACTTCCCAGGCTGAACCTCAGCAAAAGACGTGGTTCTGTGTCCTGGCATAGCACAAGTGGAGGCAGGTGACAAGTGGTGTCCCCCAGGGGGTCTGTCTTTGGATGTGTACTTCAACATCTTCATCAGTGACACTGACAGGGAGACTGAGTGCACCCTCAGCAAGTTTGCTGGTAACACCAAGCTGAGTGGTGTAGTTGATACAACAGGGAAACGGGTGGCATGCAGAGGGACCTGGATAGGCTTGAGAGGTGGGCCTGTGTGAACCAAACAAGGCCAAGTGCAATGTTTTATACCTGGGACAGGGCAATCCCAGATATGTGCAGACTGAGAGAAGTCCTTGAGAACAGCTCTCTGGAAAAGGACTTGGGAGTCCTGGTAAATAAAAAGCTGGACATGAGCCAGCAGTGCACGCTTGCAGCTCAGAAGGTAAACAATGTCCTGGGCTTCATCAACAGAGAGGTGGCAGCAGGGAGAGGATTGTCTCCTCTCTGCTCTGCCCTCCTGAGGCCCCACCTGCAGTACTGCATCCAGGCCTGGGACCCCCAGCACAAGAAGGATGCGGAGCTGCTGGAGTGGGTCCAGAGGAGGGCCACTAAGATGATCAGAGGGCTGAAGCACCCCTCCTGTGAAGAAAGGCTGAAGGAGGTGAGCTTATTCAGCTTGGAGCAGAGAAGGCTGCCGGGAGACCTCACTGCAGTGTTACTGTGCCTCAAGGGAACTCATAAGCAGGAGTGGGAGCAACTTTTTACAGTCTGGTAGTTTTAGGACAAAGAGGAATGGCTTTAAAGTAAAAGAGGGGAATTTCAGGTTAGGTGTTAAAGCAAATTTTCACACAGAGGTTGTGAGACTGGCACAGGGTGCCCTGAGAACTGAGGATGCCCCATCCCAGGTGGTGCCCACGGTTGGATGGAGCCCTGGGCAGCCAGATCAGGTGGGGGCCGCCAGCTCACGGCAGGGGGTAGGAGCTCAGTGATCGTTAAGGTCTCTTCAAGCCACCTCCAGCACTGAACCCGCGCACGACCGCTGCTCACGCCGCCGACGCTCCGGGCTGCGGGTGAGGCCGCGCTCCGCAGGCACCGCCTCACCTTTGCCTCAGGGCCTCTCGCCGCCCGATGGCCGCGCTCGCGCTCTCTACCCGCAGCTCCTCCACCTGCAACACACGAGAAGCGCCGTCAGCTGCCGGAAGGGAAGCCGCTCCCCGGCGGCGGAGCGGCTGCTGGTGCCGTACCTGTGCCCGCAGCTCCCGGCTCCGTCGCTGCACTCTCTGCAGCGGGCCCCGCGCCCGCCGCCCCGTCATGGTCGCTAGGCAACGGGCGGCGCGGCGCACGGAGATGACGTCACTCCCGGGAGCGCGGCGCGTGCGCGCTGGGCACCGGTCCCACGAGGTGCAAGAACGCAGTGCGCGGGGCGCAGGAACGCAGTGCGAGTCTAGCGTACAAACACCGATTTAATGTTCCCGTTCTGCCGCAGCGCGCCGCTCGGTCACCCCCGCGCGGTCCGTCCCACTCGTGTTCTGTCACGCCGAGATCCGTCGCTCGTTACGCGTGTCCCCGTGCCGTGTCCTCACCGACGAGGCGGCGGTGCAATCGGTTCCGGCTGGTGGATCGGCGGCGGTCCGGGGCATCGCCGAGCGGCGGAGACGCAGCGCTCCGATGCACGGCGACGACGAGAGCAGGGCGGCTCACGCGGGGAGGGAACGGGATCGGAGCGGAGGACGGCGGTGCCGGGCTCAGGCCGCCTCCAGCTGCTCCCGGGCGGCGTCCAGGCGGCGCTGCAGGCGGCTCTGTCGCCAGCGGAGGAAGCGGCGGCGGGCGCGAGCGGCCTGCCAGCCCACTAGCACGCCGGCGGCGAAAGCGGCCAGCAGCGCAAAGCGCACAGCGCGGGGCTTCAGCGCCTCCAGCGCCATCGGGGTCGCGAGGACGTGCGCTGCGGGCGGCTCCTCCTCTCTCTCCTCCTCCCGGCCCGCCTCCGCCTCCCGCTTCCGCCGGCGGGGGCGGGCCCGTTAAATGCCGCGGGGCCGGCGGGAGGGGGCGAAGCGTCTCCCTGGTCATGGCTGAGGCTGTCTCACAGGTAGTGCCTTCGCCTTGGGCTGGGGAGGCGGCAGGGAGCGCAGGGCGGCGTTGCTCCATCTCTGCCTTTGGGTGGGGGGTCTCCCGGGGGTGCCTCCCTCGCCCCCCAGCACCCCGTGACCCGTGTCTCTTCCCCAGGAGCTCCTGCTGGCGGCAGCGTTTGTCTCTGATGCACAGTACAACAGAAATATTCCTTTTAAGACTTCCCCCGAGGCTGTCAGGTAAGGGGGTCTGCAGGGCTCTGCTCCTGCAGGCAGCCTGGGGTTGGGGGGGGCTGGGGTGAGTTCCTTCCCCCAAAGTGCAGTGAGGCAGTGGCACAGCTGCACAGGGAGTGGTGGGGTCACCATCCCTGCAGGTGACCGTGGTGACCCCAGAGCCGTGGGGATGTGGCACTGAGGGATGTGGGCAGTGGGGATGGGTTGGGCTTAATGATCAAAGTCTTTTCCAACCTCGGTAGTTCTCTGGAGGGAGCCAGCCTGTGTCTGTGGAACTGTGCTGAGCTGTATGGTGGTGGTGAGGCCAAGGTGGAATGCTAAGAGGCCTTCTTGGGTGGGACTGTGAAGGCTGAATTGAAGCTTTAATGTGTACATTAAATACAACTCAATGTGTCTTATAGGAACACAAATGAAAACTTTTATTTCTTTTCTGGAAGCAAAAACCAAAATGAAGCTGTAGTGCTAGCAGAGATTGTGAATATGGACAGCTCAGTGCTTGGAAGGAAGTGCTGGAAGGTGGCTGCATGGGGCGTGTGTGGCAGGGTTCTGGTAGCCAGGCAGGAGAACAGCCCTGTGCCAGCTGGCTTGGTAATGATGGTAACAGCCCCATGTGCACCAACGCTTCAGCTGATCCTAGGAGCTTGTGGTGTCTCTGCTCAGGTGCTTTTTTGCAAGGGCAGTGACTGCTAGAAGCAAGAAGTCACCAAAAGCTTGTTAATTGGCAGTTAGGCAAATGAAATTCCCAAAATCAAAGCTATTTTGCCTGCAATATTGACTCTCCTGACTAGCTGCTTTTACAACATTGGTTGCACTTTTAATTCTCTTAGCTCAGCTACTGAAGCTTCAAGAGTTTTGTACTGCCTAAGTATGTTAACTCTGAATAGCTGAAGTGAGTGGGTTTTACGTGGTGGTGTCTTAGTGCTGTTGTTAAGGACATCTGTTGTCATTCATTTTATCACCTGCCTTGTACCTTTGGGGTGATGACTGGGCAGGTGAGATGATTACGTGGCAACACAGGCATCCTATATATTAGCAGAGAAACCCCATGCTCTTTCTGTGGATGTGCTCCAAAAGGAGCCACTATTATATGCTCCTGTGGAAGACTGAGAGCCTGATGTGTTCGAGGTTAATATCAGCAGTCACCAGAGGCTTTGCTAGAGGGGACAGAATACTACTTGACTTGTGTGTGTACATAGAAAAGCTTACTCTGACAGAAACTTTTGAACACTTCCCTGTTCTATCTATGCTGATGTACCCTTTTTTCTTTACTGTTCAGGCAGTGTGTGCTGTTTTTCCAAGACAGACTTGCTGACCACATGGGTACATACACTGAACCCCTTACTTATGGTGCCACTGCTTTCTCTCTACAGGCTTTATTATCTCTATAACCACTGGTTTATGCGAACAGCCACCTATATCTTCATCTTTCTCAACCTCTCCCTGGCAGTGTTTGAAGAACCTGCTGTGTATCCACTCCCTTTCCTGGTGAGTTTCCAGGCAGTGCACAAGTGATAATGCAGCTACTGTTGTGTTGGCTCAGTGGTGTATTTCATGCTTGAGACAAGTTACCAAGGTGTAAAGAGATGCTTGCTGCTGATCTTCCTGTTCATACTTCCCATATGCTGGAATGGGGTCAAAAATGGGCATAAAAACTAGACACGGTCCTGTGGACATCCCCAATGGCTGATATGATTAGGCAGTGTCACACTGCTCCCTTCCACACTTTCAGGCTTTATCCTTTTTCTCTGCACCAGTCATTGTGATTGATGTACTCCTCAAATCCTAACCAAATACACAGTGACTGGTTCTAAGCTGCGCTTAGCAGGGAATTTCACAAAGGAAGCCTAAAACTGTTGCCATATGTGAGCTTGTAGAACAGCCAGCAGCAAAACTCGCTGGCAGAACTTTTATATGAACCCTATTTATTTATTTTCTCACCTGCACCTCAGCCTGAGAATCCTTATTGGTATGGAGAGGACTAGCATTGCTTTTGTTAGTCCTGACTGGAGTCTTTTCTGTCTGCAGGCCACTTCTTTAGTGGAGGTGTTGTGCCTTCTGGTGTTCTTTGGCCGACTGATGCATTTTGCAAAAATCACCTGTCGTAATGTATTTTGGAAGGATACCAAGAACATCTGCATCATGGTTGCAATCCTGGTGAGTTAGGTCTTGAGATCACGAGGGTTGAGCTGGGCTATGTGGAGGCAGCTTTTTGTTCCTCCTGTGTCTCTTCTGGGATCTGCTGCACAAGGGCCATGGCCAAACCAATTGGCACATCAGCCTGTTCTCACAGACCTGTTGTATGTGCATCTGGTTTGTCTAGATGGTGAAGATAATTGGATTAGCTCATACAGTTTCCGACTTCGTTCCTGTGCATTTTCATCCTTTCTTCTACAGCTATCTCTGACTGATTTGGCCATATATGGGGCCCTCAGGATATACAACATAAAGAGTGTTCGATGGTCCAGAATAGTGAGGCCCATCTTCCTGGTCAACTTTGCAGAGAGTCGCCAGGTAAGGAATGGATCTCATGGGAATTACTGCTTCTGGACAGCATGCTGCTTTCTGAGAACCAAGGGAACATGTAGTAGAATGTAGAATAGCAGGATTCAGACTCATTGAAGTGACTTTCTCTGAGGTGACCTGGAGCAAGATTTCGAGACAGAGAAAAGGGTGCATTCACAAGGATGCTGCTTGGGCATAGTGCAAGGTACTGCAAAGCATCTTCCTAAGTTTGGACAGCAGCAACCCAGTCCACAGAGCCCTGAACATGCTTGAGACTGAAACCAGAGCATCTTGCCATACATAGTGCTGTTTTGTCATCTTTGTTAAAGACTGGCACCATGTGAAAGAATAATGTTTCTCATAAGCTCAGCCTATGGGCTCTGATTCCTACAGCTTGTATGGAAGACCACTATCTGTTTGCAAGCAGTTAGTTGCTACTCTCAGAAGTAGTAAATGCAAGCAGTATGTATAAGTATGTACAAGAAAACTGTTTCTTCTTGAGACTGGGGCCAGGTTACTTATTTCTGGAAGTCTCCTAGGCAAACAAGCACAAATGTTGCACAGTTCCCCAAACTGAGCTCGTGGTCCAGATGGATGGTTTGGACTCTGTTCCCTACTGTCACAGGGAGATCTTTGCCCTGCTACCCAAGACTATTCTGTTCTGATTTGGAAATAAACTGTTACACTGTGGAAGCCTGCAGGAGGGAGCAGCTGAACTCTCAAGCTTGGAGCATATTTAGTGCCCTGGAGTGACGGACTTCTGTCTCTGACCAGTCCTTTAGAGCAAGAGCACTTCAGTGATGCCTGGGGCTGTTAAGCAAGGAACAGACTAAGTTCACAGTGCAACATAAGCTGGGAGGATGAAGAGGAAAGCTCTGGTACTCTTGCACAGGTTTGCCTGAGTAGCAGGGCTTGCCTCTTGTTATCCGAGGCAAACGTGTAAGAGTAGGAAGAACTCGTGCAGTCAGAATCTTTCCTTCCAGGCAACAGACAAGGCCGTGTGTCCCACTGTGCCTGTCCATGTGTAGCTGTTCTGTTCTGATAGAATGGTGATAGGAAAAGTGCTTCTAAACACTTCCTTTGTCCGTGACAGATACGAAGAGCCTTCCGCAGCATCCGCAATACACTGCCAGAGATCACCTATGTCTTCTTGCTCTTCATGTTTAGCCTTCTCATGTTCTCCCTCATGGCTCTGAAGCTGTTTGGTGAGAGGTGTGAAAACATTTTTTTTTATTGTTGTTGTTCAGAGTATGGGGGGATGAATGGCTGTGATTCCTCCTGAACAAAATGGATCTGGCAACTCCAGATGATTTCTGCTAAATACAAAGTGCTGATACCTGTAGTTGCTGGAGTGGGATATGGTCTCTGTGCTTGACACCAGGTTGTTGCCTTCTTCCTAGGAACCTCCAGACAGCAGAAGGCTTGCCATATTTTAGAGACTACCTAGAAATTGTGTTTGACCTCTATGTGTTGGTGACGACTGCAAACAGCCCGGATGTCATGTATGTATGCTGAGCTTGCAGTCTTTGTGTTGCAAATGCTGGTGTCCTGCTCCTAGTGTAAGGGAAAAATAACTGTGTTGTGCTATGAAGCTGTGATCAGCATCTCTGGCAGGTGAAATCACTCACTAGGCCCATTTAGGGAATAAGGAGGGGGGAGAGGGGAGCAGGGAAGAGTCTTCTAACACTACCTATTCATGAGATAAACTCTGCTTGTTCTGCTGTATTTTTCTCAGCTTCCTATCCCTCTGGCACTACGTAACCAAGAAGTATCTTGATGCAACAACTAGACCTGAACGCTCACACTTGGCTATCTGAGCACTGTCTTTTGTGCATCCTGGCAGGGTCTCAGGTTAAACAGTACTGTTGTGCAAAGCAATGTCTTCCAGAGTAGAAATGGGGCTCTCACTTCTCCAGCTTGTAGGATTTTCAAGAGTTGTTACCCATCTGTTTTATAGATGGCCTCTGAACCACAGTCTGAGGTCTGACCCCACAGGTTGGGAGGAATTCTTTAAAAGATGCACTGAAAGTAAAGCTTTCCAAAAGATCCATCAGCTGAGTAAGGCATTGATCTAAGAGACAAATCCCCTAGCGCTTTGATTAGAACACTTTCATAAAAAA